CTCCTGTGAGACTGAGAATTTCTCCCACTGCCACAACCTCCACAGTATTTTATGGCCAGAGGTTTTGAGGCTTTAGTTTCACGTTCTGGAACCCTGGGTTGTGTGGTCTGTCTTGCTCCCCAGTTGTTCCTCCTGGCTTATCAGCACGCGAATGTGGGACAGCCTGTCCGCCTGCTGCTACCTCACTTGCCCTGTCTGCTGCCTTGCCATGTGTCATCTCTGCCCTGCCTGTCTGTCTCCACCCCTCCTTCTAGTCTGGATGAATGTTTCTTCTTTAGCTCCGTGGTTGTCGGACTTCCATACAGTTCGATTTTCTGGCAGTTCTGATTGTTTTTTGTTTTTAAATATGTTGTCCTTTTTTGGGTTGTGTGAGGTAGCAAAGCTCATCTACCTATGCCTCCAACTTGGCCGGAAGTCTACTCATTTCTGATTTTATATATTTGGACTCTCTCTTGATAGGTCTGGTTTAGGTTTATCAATCTTGTTTACCTTTTGAAAGAACCATCTCTTGGTTTCATTGATTTTTGTATTTTTGGGGGCTCAATTTATTTCCACTCTGATCTTCATTATTCCCTTCCCTCTACTCTACTTTGGGTTTTGTTTATTTTTCTTTTTCTAGCTCCTTTAGGTGTAAGATAAGGTTGTTTATTTGTTTTTGTTGTTGTTGTTTCTTTTGAGATAGGCCTGTATTGCTATGACTTTCCCTTCTAGGATTGTTTCACTGTGTCCCATAGATTTGGGGTTGTTGTGTTTTCATTTTTATTTGTCTCAAGGTATATTTTCTTTCTTTCTTAATCTCATTGTTAACCTATTAATTGTTTAGTAACATGTTATTTAGCCTTCATGTCTGTGTGTTTTTCAGTTTTTATGTAATTGATTAGTAGCTTTATAATATTGTGGTCACAAAATATACTTGATATGGTTTCAATCTTATTAAATTTATTGAAACTTGTTTTGTGTCCTAACATGTGGTCTATCTTGGAAAACATGCTTTGTCCACTGGAAAAGAATGTATATTCTGTTACTTTGGGATAAAATGCTCTAAAAATATCAATTAAACTCATCTGGTCTAATGTGTCATTTCAGGCTGCTATTTCCTTGTTGATTTTCTGTGTGGTGTATGTATTCATTGATGTCAAGGGGTTTTAAAGTCTCCTACTATGTTTATATTACTGTTGATCTCTCCCTTTATGTCCATCAATACTTGCTTTATATATTTAGGTCCTTCTATGTTGGCTACATAAATGTTTACAAGTGTTATATCCTCTTGCTGGATTGATCTCTTTATCATTATGTAATTCCTTTGTTTCTTATTACAGCCTTGGTTTTAGTCTATTTTGTGTGATAGAAGTATTGCTATCCTAGCCTTTTTTTTCATTTCCATCTGCATAAAACATCTTTTTCCATCCCTTTACTTTCAGTCTGTGTGTATATTTTGTTCTGAGGTGGGTCTCTTGTAGACAACATATATATGGGTTGTGCTTACTTATCCATTCAGCTACCTTATGTTTTTAGGAGTTAAAAGTGTAATTTAATTTAGTTGTTACTTGTACATAGTCTATAGTGAGATATACATATAGGTAAAAATTGTTTACAGGAGGTTTTTAAATACCACTTTAAATTCAGTTTACAACAGCATGGGTAATACTGCAGGATGACAGATACTCTGATTTAGAAAACAAGAGGTACTTGCTACTCTGGCTGATACATCCCCACTAGTCTTTGATAGATGAAAATGTATCATGGATCTAGTGTATAGCTGCATGGTGCACCTATAGGTGAGGAACGAGGAGGTTTTGGCTGCAGCACTGATATCCCAGCACTATCCCCAGCAAACCTACAGATGTCCTTAGAGCTTTTTCAAGCACTCAGTTGCTCCTCAAAACAGTTTTCAGAGAGAGAAGGGGCAAAAGTAACTGCCATCGTGCTCAGCTCTCCACAGTCCACCTGTGTTCTGCAGTTTCCAGGCGATGATTGCATCCCGGGCAAATGCTTCCCGCAAATGCTGTGCCTAGTGGAGACAGGTCCATGTAGACCGCTCAGGGGAGAAGGCACAGGCTCAGCACTCAGTGCAGTTGCAGCTCAGTGAGGACACACCCCGAGGGAACATGTTAGGCTGCAGCTTCCACTGTTCTTCTGCTTTTACCTATATGTGATGTTTCTGAATCTACAGAGAAAGAGAGAGATGGGACTGACTGACTGAATTGAGATAAAGGCCTGTGATGGCAGAGAAAGCCTGGCCAAAGGAGGCAGACAGGAACAAGCATTAATGGGGCAACTAGACCAGACTTTCCCACACCACGAGGAAATGGGTTTCACTGCCCTCACTTAATAGATAAGGAAATGGAGAGAGATAGACAGGTTATGTAAGGTTTCCAAGGTTTTGGAGTGGGAAGATGGGGGAACCGAAGCTCCTAAGCTCTACTCTTTCTAATTCCTAAATCAGATTGGTTCAGGTTCAGGAGAAAGTTCTTCCCTTTGTTGCTACTGCACACACTGATCAAAAGGGAGATCCAGGGGTTACTGCAGGTTGTCTGCCTAGTACCTACTCTCTGATGAAAACTGAGTTTATTCAGAAACTCCCTCCTCCATACAGCTTTATTCCTCTTAGGTTGTAGATGCCACTTCTAGGACTGAACTGATTCATTTGCTTTGCTCTGGTCTAGGCCAGGAATTGGCAAACTTTTTGTACTTCCCTGTATCTCGGCCTACTCTTTATCCCAGTAGTAACCATTATACCAAATTTTACTATTCCCTTGATCTCTTTATTTTTTTGAGATATATATCCCTATCACTTAATATAGATATATGTATATATATGTATATATATATATATATATATATATATATATAAAATATATGTATCTCCCTGAGGGATACATTTTTTTTGAACTTGACGTAAATGGAACTCTGCTTTATTTTTCTTCATAACATTTCTCACCAATTAACATTTATTTTCTTATTTATTTATTTATTTATTGCCTGGGTTACCCTCTCCCTCACAGCTCCTTGAAAACAAATAAAACAAAATTTGCCTTGTTTTTATTCACTATTGTACCTCCAATTCCAATAAGAGCATCTGGTAAATAGAAGTTGCTCAATTAACACTTGTTGAATGAAAGAATGAGAAACCTTGCTCTCTACATGACTAGTATGATTTATGCTGTTTGTGAAAATGAAAGAATTCTAATGATGGCTAATGAGCATTGTTTTGCTAAGGCTTCCTCTGTGTCAAGAAAAATGAGTGCAGGAAATTCAGTAATGTTAGATGTACCTTTAAAATAATAAGAAACATAGTTGGCTCATGGAGCAATGGAGAAAGTGTCAGCCTCAGCGCCAGCAACCTTAGACTGGAATCTGGCTCTGCCACTTGCCAGCTGTGTCCCCGTGAGCAACGTTCAGCCATTCTTAGTTCCCAGTTCCTCATCTGGAAAATTGGGGTACTATTATGCGGTGGTTAATGTGAAGGTTGGATGAGTGCATGGATGAAAATGCTCTGAACGGTAAGTGCAAAGAAAACTATACTAAAAACTATCATCAATACTAAAGCTAACGAAGGCTTTGCAAATTAAACGTCTCCACAAAACTCTCTCTCCACATTCTTCTCCAATTTAAATTTTTTATTATAAACATAACTCCTCTTTTAAAATGCATCTTCTCTAATGAGCTTTCTCCTCAAGCAACAGTACTTAGTTTTATTTTATTGAAATATAATTTATCACTTTAAAGCGTACAATTCATTGTTACTACATTCACAAAGTTGTGCAAAGTTGTGCAATCACTATATAATTCCTGAACATTTTCATCACCCCAAAAGAAATCCCATGCCCATTAGTGGTCACTCCCTATTACTCCCCTGTCCCCCCAGTCCCTGGCAAGCACTAATTTGTTGTCTAGTTTAGACAGTTCACATAAAGAGAATCACACAACATGTGGCCTTGTACATGTCTGATTTCACTTAGCATGTTTTCATTTGTTATCCGTGTTGTAGCATATACCAATAATTCATTAGTTTTTTACAATGATAATATTCCATTGTATGGACATGTTATTTTTATTCTACTCTTGTTTAGGGATATTTGGGTTGTTTCCATTGGGGTATTATAAATAATACTGCTACGACATTTGAGTACAAGTTCTTGTATGAACATATGTTTTCAATTCTCTTAGGAATATATCTAGGAATAGGATTGCTAAGTCATATACTAACTCTATATTTTAATTCTCCAGTTACTGCTGTTTGCCACAGCAGCAGCACCATTTTACCTCCCTACCAGCAATGTATGAGGGCTCCAATTTCTCCACATCCTCTCCCCACACGTACTTGTTTTATTTCTAGAATCATCCGTTTTACTTACCAACACTGCCTCAGTCACATTAGTATTGCAGCAGGTCTAGAAACTATTTAAATTAAAACACAAAATTCCTATATGACAGCCCTGTTTTCTGTTGTGGTGGTGGTTGTTTTTAAAGACTCCATGGTACTGTTTTTAATTTTTCCTTACAGAGAGCATACAGTTATTTAAGCTGCTTTGCCCTGGGGGATGCTCAGTTCAGTCACATGGCTCCTCACAGAATCCCAGGGAAAAACGCCGTTTTGGGAACAAATCCCTGTCTTAATCGGAGGGCAGACTGGAGTAAGCCTAAGATTAGCATTTCAATAGCTTTTCACAGGCAAGTCACGTCATTTCGCTTTTTCGCTTGCTGTGGTCACAGCTGCAGGCAGCGTAGGCCAGGCAGAAACCCTGTTCCAAACCCTGGGAACTCAAGCTCCCACCCGCCTCCCTCGGCCTCCGCCCCTACAGGTCCACCCCTCGGCCGACACTTCCCCCTCCTTCTCACACTCTGGGGCAGGGGCGGGGAGGTAGGTAGGTGTTAAAGAGGCTCTGGGACCAATCCGCGTGCATTTCCGAGAAGCGGCTCTCTGCACTGGCAGGTTAAGTCTGATGATGTAGTCAAACTCCAATCCACATTTTGGGGGCGGGGCTGAAGTCCTGCAGGCGCAAGGCAGGAGGAGACGACCGCCTGGTGGAAGCACGTGACCTGGGGCTGGATCCGGAAGCTACCTATCTGGTTGGGAGCGCCCCTCAGCACCTAAGGCTGCGATGGTGAGTGAGGACGCATGCGCGCGAGTACGTGCTGGGGGCTCCGTGTCCCTGGTCCCCAATCTCAGGTTACCCCTTCTTGGGGCCGCACTCAGCCTTCAGCTCCTATTCTCCCCTGGACGGAGAGGGATTGGAGGGCGGGGGGCTGCACGGGGCCACGGGGGCGACTTAGAGGGCTTAGGAGGGATCTTCGGGAGAGTGTAAAAGGGCTGGGGAGTAGTCTGCGGAGGAGCTGCTGGCCACATGGGAAATTGGGGTGGGGGGTGCTGGAGAGAGGGCATGTGGGGCTGCGAAGGCCTCCGGTGGTAGCAGTGGTGGGATGTCGAAAGCCAAGGGAGCTCAGTAGTAGAGGGTGAGGACAGATCAGAGGCTCAAGAAGATAATTGTGGAAGGCCGTGTAGAGGGAAGTGGGTCTGGAAGGGCCCTGGCTTGGGAAAGAGAAGGTCTAGGGCAGGTCATGAGAGACGAGTTGCAAGTGAAGAGTTTCGAGGGCCATCCTCCTAACAGTGCTTCTTACTGATTGCATCTTTACCCACTAGACTTCTGCACTGACCCAGGGGCTGGAGCGAATTCCTGATCAGCTCGGGTACCTAGTCCTGAGTGAAGGCGCAGTGCTAGCGGTGCGTTCTGGGCTAGGGAGGGGGTTCCCCCAAGTACACATGGTCAGGTGATCCCTCATAACATTGCCGAGTTTAGCCTAATTTCCCGCTGTTCTTAGTCTTAATTTGTATCATGCCTGTCTAGCATAAGGCAAGTTTTCAATAACTAAATCTCTGGAATCTTAGTGTGGTAACTGTTCTGAAGTAAAAGGGTTTACTAATTTTACCAGAGTCAGACAACTAGTCGCAGGTTCGACGATAACTGATACTACCCAGGTTATTCTGGAATGTGTTTATTTGGTATTTATTGAAGAGGATTTGTTTTTTGTTCCATAGTACAATATTGTGTTCTCTAGAAGTTTTCAGTCTAGTTAGAAACAAGGTTTACAGTTAAAAGTTGAAGGCAATGCCAGTGATAAGACTACTGAAGAAGTCCAGGAAATGAAGGATTCAGCCCTTAAAGTTACAACTTGGGCTATGACAAGGAATCCTTGGAGGGCATAAAAAATTCAGCTGGGCTTAAAGGATGGATGGTTGTTGTGGACAGGCAGAAAAGGAGAGGGCTGAGAGGTGGACTTATTTGCAGGAGTCAGACACCAGCCTGTTTGACTTGGTGGTAGGTTTACATTAAAAAAAGATTTGGAAAGGTATGAGGAAAGAAGCAGATATGGTTAGGAAAGATTTGATTGTGGAGGACTTTCAAGACTGGGTTAGCACATTTGGATTAATCTTGAGGGTAACAGGACCTTTGAAGGGTATTGAACAGAAACATGAGCTGATGAAATAGTTGAGGAAGATTGTTCTAATAGGTGTAAATTTGGGCAGGAAGGGGAGGAATCCGGAAGCAGGGAGGCTGCTACTGAAGGAAACCTGTATATGAGCCTGGGCTGGTGGCAATGAGAAGGAGCAAGGAGAAGAGAGAATTTAAAGGAGTCGTTAATATATCTTTATAATGACTAAACGTATGTAATATAGGAGATACTTTTCCATTCAATCCTAGAATGATGGTGTCTTTAACAGAAAATTACTCAAGGAAGCTGACTGGGGAATGGGAATGGTAAAGGGAATTTTGATGGCTTGACTTTAGACATCAACTTTGACTTAGAGTAATAGCAGAGAGAGAGAGAGAGAGAGAGAGAGAATCCCTCACAAGCCTGTAAGATAGGTAATGTCTCCATTGTACAGATAAGAAAACTGAGGTACAGATGTCCAAGAGGCAAAGGGCACTGAACTTATTAACCTAGTGGGAGGCCCATATCAGGGAGGTAGGGAGAAACTGCAAGTTACCAGAAAGAGGGAAGTCCAGGCCACTTACACTATTACCCAAGGACTAAGTAACAGGAAGGGGTTCAAGGACAAAAAGGATGTTTGTTTCAGATTCTACAGACATGGCAACAAGTGGAAAGTCTTAGGAAAATATGGAGCCTTGAACAAGTCAGTGGTGGGTGGGCACTGATGTTTGAGAATGTGGTTTTATCAAGTAAGTGGGGACAGGGAGAGAAATCAAGTTTCAAAGGATTAGAAAAATGGTGGTTAGTAAAGAAATGGATGAGAGTCACTGCTTATCAGGAGAAGCCTGTGTAAGGATGAGAAACAATATGGCACCAAGAGGGAGCAGCAACACCATAGGAAAGTTTCAGGTTTGTTTTTCCAAAACTGGGTGACCAATGGGAGAGTACCAATGCTAGAGCTAAGTGACACTTCCTGGAATTCTTTCTCAGTTCTGTTCCCTAATTTCTGCCATCCTCCCTCCTCTGCATGTAGTCATCTGGGGATCTAGAGAACGATGAGCAGGCAGCGAGTGCCATCTCTGAGCTGGTCAGCACAGCCTGCGGTTTCCGGCTACACCATGGCATGAACATACCCTTCAAGCGCCTGTCGGGTGAGCCACAGCCCCTGCCCCTGGTGGTGGTGATAGGAAGCGGGGTATTCCCAGAGGTGGGGTGCTCTCCTCAGGATAAAAGCACTTGTTTCCTACCGACCTCCCACCATCTCTCCCTGGGGTCTCTGGTTCTGGCCATGTCCTTCCCTTTGGGATTTGACCCTGTATCTCAAAAGTATGGGAAAATGAGAAGGGGACTGAATGGAGACCTCCCATCTTCAGATCTCTGAGCCTTGAATCATCAAATTTCTTTGGCTCTTGATCCCAGCCAGTTTGTGTGTGTTCTCATGGAGGCCATTGCATCCCACTAACTCTGTGCTCCCTTCCCTTTCCCGGGACTTGGGAAGGTGTGTCTCCCTTCCAGTGGTCTTTGGAGAACACACGCTGCTGGTGACCGTGTCAGGACAGAGGGTATTTGTGGTGAAGAGGCAGAACCGAGGCCGGGAGCCCATTGACGTCTGAGCCTGCCAAAGGCAAGGGGCAGAGGTGGATTGGGTCCATGAGCCTCTGATGAGAAAGATGCAAACTTCCTCCACCTTTCTTGGCCTGCTGCTAGAACTAAGGCTTTCTGTTCACTTTCCTTCCCCCACCCCCCTCACCCCCATTACCTGGAAGGGCAAAAGCTTGGTGACTGTGGTGTGTTAAGGACAGTGAGGACAATAAACATGAGTCTGATGTTCACAGGCCCAGGGATGTGTGTATGGGGTGGGAGTCGGGGGGTGCTATGCCCACATCTTCCACCTGCTAGGAAGAAGTCTTGTACCTCAGCCCAAAGGGGTGGAGCTACACCACCTCTGGGCATATCAAACTGGGAATAAAAAAAAAAAATGGGGGAAGGGAGCTATGTGGTATGCATGCTGAAGTGAATCATTTTGAGGCCCGGGTCTCTGTTCCTGCCACCAACACACGAACAACAGTCATTCTTCTCCCTCCTGAACAGGCTTTTAATAGTCTTATTTCAGTGGAAGCAGTAGTTGGAGAATAAGTTACAGGGACAGACCAAAAAAACAAAGACAAAAAACCCCCATACAACTTAAAGTGCTTCAGGCTGCAAACGTAAACAAGAGAGGCAGGAGGTGGCCAGCTAGCTATCTCCCCTCACCTCTGACACAGGAGGGTCATTGTCTGGGTCCCTTTACCATCACCACCCTCTAATCTCAGCGCTGGGGTGGGTGGGTGGGAGGGAGGGAATGTCAGAGGCAGGAAAGACAACTTAATAGGAATGAGAAAACACTTTGTAAACTTAGAGCCAAGGTACAAGGCAGGGAACAAGGGAGCTCTTGGAACCCTTGCCCTGACCCAGGGGTGGGGCCAGCCCCCCGCAGGAAGTCAGGGAAAATACTATTGGTTTAGTGCTGCAGCCATACCCGCCTATTTCACAGCTTCTTCCCTCACCAGCAGACACAGACAGGCACCCTGGTGGGCCTCCTCACCCACAGTGGGAGGCACCCCTAGGGAGGCACAGCCTAGAACAAGGAACCCCCACCCCCCAGAGGCATTTGATTTCTGGGAGTGTAAAAGCCAGCACAGTGCTACTTGACAGGCTCTACCACCAGGACCTTGCACTCGCGCTTGGCAATCTTGTCCAGAGAAAGCACAGCCTTTTCCGGGGGCAAGTAGAGGGGGCGGCCAACAGGGGAGGCCACGGGGGGCGTGATGGCCCTGCGCTCCATCACACTGCCCGACCTGGAGAAAGGCAGAGGATGTGGGCTCTGGTTAGAGCTCAGGAACTCTTCCTGCTCCCTCTCCAATTCTGGCCTCTACCGAGTCCAGTGGCACCCCTCCTTTGGTTCCATACCTCATGAGGTGGCTGCGAGAGGGTTGTTGGTGGGAGAAGGACTGCGAGCGGCCCAGGCTGGCCTGGTGCCTCTCCACTAAGTCCCGGACAGCTGGGCTGCTGGGGCTGCTCTTTCGAGAGAGGGGCCGGGCCTCAGGTGGAGGGTGGGACACACTGGCAGTGAACTGCAGCTTCAGTTTCATGTGCTGGCTCAACTGGGGTGGAGAGAGACAGATCAGCATTCCCACTTGGCTTCCAGGCCCCAGACCTTTCAAATCATCTTCCCCCTTGATAGGCCAATGTTGGATCTAAATTCCACCTTCCCTTGGCCTGGTTTTTTCATGCCACCCATTGTTATTTCATCCACAGAAGCTAGCAACCCCCATGCCTCCCATCCTGATATTCTGCATCACCCAGTAGACCATTCACCCCTCTCCGCCGCCTCCCTTGCCCACCTCAAAGAGCCCTGTCCTTAGAGCCTGGAAGGCCACACTGAAGGTGAGTGCACTGCCCTTCCGAGAAAAGCCAAGGTTGTTGAGGGGTGTGTGGCAGACAATGGAGTCTAGCGCAGCCTGCATGGCCCGGCGCTCCTCCTCACACAGCTGCTTTCCTAGGGGGCAGAAACGGCGACCAGTAAACACCTGTACGGTGTTCCTCAGCAAGGGGCGTCCAACAAGCACAGTCTCATGTGATCCTCAGAGTCACCCTGTGGAGTGTACTGAGTATATCTTTTGCCAAGTTTTATAAATACTACATTATATTTACTGTGTGCTGAAGTCTATTCTAACCACTTCACATATGTTAAATCTTTAAATCACCATAACAACCTCATGGTGGGAGAGTAGTGAGGAGTATTATTTTCTCCATTTTAGGGATGAGGACTATGAGGCTCAGAGAGGTTAAGTAACCTACCTAGGGTCACACAGCTTATAAATGATAGAGGTAGAAATCAAACATACCAATACCAGGGAGCCTAGCACCAGTGTCACTGCTACCCTAATGCCTCTCTAAACTACCCATCTGTGACACTGGAGACCACCCAGGGACAGAGCCAAAGCAGCCACCTCCATGACTTCTTCCTTTCCCCTTCCCTCCTCCGGGACAAGGGCCCAGCCTGGCAGCAACCTACCAGCCTGTGCGTGCTCCGGGGTCCACACGAGCCTCACAGCAAGGAAATCTTGGAGATTGTTGAGCAACGTGTAGGTGACAGTGAAACGCTCATAGGTCTGCACTGGGGACTCACAAGAAGCAGTCATCACAAAGCATGGGCGGTCCAGGCGGATGCTGGGCAGCCTAGAAGCAGTGAGAGAGGAAAGCAGGATGTATGTGTTTTAAAACAAAGGTGAATAGGGTGGTGGTCACCAGGAGTTCCCACATACCCACCGATAGTGGGTATAGATGCTCTGGGTGAAGGGCAGCTTTGGGGTGGACCACTGAACCACAGCAATCAGGGGAACTTCTAGGCCCTGTGGGAGGGACAATGGGAACCATCATATATGTCATCTTTAGGCACCGCTCCCCCCCTTGGCCTTTCCCTCCCATTGCGTTTTTTTAACCTTTTCCCATGAAATCACCAGCCCCTTATACTCACCTCCTTGGCCCCTGGAGGTGGCTGCTCACCCCCTCTCAGCTGAAACAGGAAGTTGTGTTCCTCCAGGGCACTGAGCGGGCAAGGAAAGCAGCCAGAGGTACCAGGGAGCCGACAAAAGGAGCCCATGGAGACCTCCCCAGATTGGTGACTAGTTCAGAAGGAGGAAGAGCTAGATCTTTCTGTGCCAGAACTCTCGGCCCTGCCCCCATCCCCACCACTTCACAGCCCTACCCCTCCCTAGGACCTCACCAGACATTGTCCACCAGCAGCACAGAGCCATCGGGCATGACAGGTAGATAACTGGCATTGAAGTTTGGGAGAATGCGGATATCCCAGATGGAAATTTCCTCCTGGGAGGAGCTGTTCAGCACTGTCGAAGGTAACCAGTTCAGCTCAGAGTGTCCGGACCCCTCAGACCCCACCTTAATCCCACCAAAATGGACCTAGCCCCACCATCCTGCACAGGGTAACTGCCACCCAGTCAGTGCCCTTGCTACTACCCAAGACCTGAGCCGCTAATCTGCTCACCCTTGAGAACAGTCAAGTGTTTTCCAGCCACAGTGAACTGGCGGCATTTCAGAACTGGAGGGGGCAGCAGAGTCAGCAGGGTACTCACTGCAGGAGAGGGTGGAGGCAAGAACTGATGGGCTGGGCACAGACCTAATCCAACCCACAGTTCTAATCTATCTCTTTTCAGATATGGCACTTACCAATATCACCCCTCCACTCTGTCCCCCCAGTTCCAAACTCCAGGGTTTTCTCCCTGCATTCTCCTCACCTTGGGCCTTGAAAGCGCTCTGCTCTCCCCGGAAGGTGTCCCCAGGAAATCGGGTCTGCAGCAAACGCAGGTAGCCTTGATCTCTGACTTCTGGTGCCTCAACCTCCCGCTTCCACACAGTCACTACAATCTGAGCACAGGATACACAGGACCACAGTCAAGAGGGGAGCCAGCTGACCAGCTTTAGAGAAAGCATGGTAACTAGGACAACGGCCCCACCCCTTGCCAATCTTACCTTGGCCTTAGGTGTCCCTGGGGGCAGTCTATCCAGTGAAACAGTGAGTGGGAAGATGACCTCATCTGTGGACACAATTGGTTCCTCCACAGGCAGCTGGGGGTGTGAAAGGGATGAAGAGGTCAGCATAAAGGCAGCCCGCGGCTGTTCCCTTTAAGAGGTGCCTGGCTCTCCTTGCCCTCCCCTCTCCTCAACTGTCCTCTGCTTCCAGCTTCCCTCCAATGTCCCTCTTCTCTGGTCTTTGGGGCCCAGCAAATCGCGCCCTCGTTCCTGTGCGTGTCACCCCAGCTTCTCACCGTGGTCGCTCCCCCTGAGGTAGCAGGGCCAGGGCCGTGGGTGAGAAGGGGGCTGCAGCCTCGAAACAAACCCCCACCACCAGGATCCCCGCCCCCTGGGGGTTCAGGATCCTGGTCGCAGGAGCCACCGCCCCCAGGGGCCCCGCCTCCGGCACTGACCGAGGCCAGGGCTGCCAGGGCTGTTGCCAGTTCTGCCCAGGCCGCTCGGGAGCCCAAGCCCGGGCTACCCCCGGCGCCAGCGGCCGCGCCGCCCCGGCAGCGCAGCACCAGCAGGAAGCGAACAGTCTCCCCCAGGTAGAGGTGGTTGCGCCGGGGCAGCGCTCGGTACCGGCCCGGGTCCCCAGCCAGCTCCGCGCGTGGCGGCAGCGGCACAGCGGGGAAGTACATCGAGTAGTCGCATTGGGACTCCATAGGGCGGCGAGGACTGCGCGGCCGGGGGCAAGGCGGAAAGGGGCGGTGGAGGGCGAGCTGCTGGGGTAGCCGCGGGGAGGCCCGACACCCAACGGGAGCTGCGTGCGGCTAGGCCGGCCCAGGAGACCCGCCGGGGTTGGCAACCGGGACCCACGGGGCCGGAACTAGGTGCAAGGCCGAATGACTGGAGAGAAGCCGGAAGCGGAAGGGAAGGGGCGTGGCCTCTGAGGCCCCGGAATTTGTGGGTGACCGGTCCCTGGAGGAGAAGGGCGGGGAACGGCTGCGGTTAGGCTGCATTTTTCCTTTCTATAGGAAAGGCTATAGACAGACTTTTTAGATACGTAATATTAAAAGAACCCCCTCCACCCCCGCTTCTCCCAAGGAAGAAAGATGCTCCATTCCCTTTCTGCTCTACATAAAGCAAATTCAAGTTTCAAATTATTTATTCGTTCAACAAACATTTCATAGTGAAATGAGCATAGCTCAGTAACAAATACTTCATAGAGAAATGGACGCATTATTCCAATCCATCGTGTCCCAAACTTTCCCTGGCTTACACCATGGTTTGCTCCTCCAGGGAGCCTTTGAGAGTTCTACACGGACCTGGCAGGGGGCTGCAAAGGGGAAGGGGGCAAAACGGAGTAGAGGAGTGCTGCTACGAGCTGAACGACTGGATTCCTTGGCACAGCCTGGGTGACTTTGGTTCCCACAACCGTGCAAAGTTCCATTCTTCCTTCAGGGAGCAAGTTTGCTTTCCGAGGGAAGCAGAAATGTCATCTGGCAGCCCTACACTTGTCACAGGTGTCTTGTAGGGCAGCCGCTCTTTAACCTAAGATTCAGTGGCCTAATGTCTAGGGGGAAAGTAGTCTTGAAGTCTTCAGGGGCAGAGAGACTGTTGGAGGAAACTGCTTGGCATCTAGCTTGTCCTTGTACTGTAGCTCTGGGGTAGCCAGGCGCTCACACTCCTCCTGGTCTTGGAGGCTCAACCCACTCCGAAGTGCATAGCCCAAAACCTTACTTGACCCAAACTGGAAAGGGCGGAACCGTCGGTCAGTGATGTATTTGGGGTCTAGAGCCTCACCCCCCACCAGACAATGCTTAGCCAGGGCCTCTCGGCGAGCCCGGAGCTCTGCCACGGCGCTCTCCAGCCGACTCTGACCATATTGCTTTATTCGTGCCCACAGGCTGTGGTTGAAGTGAACATAAAGAGCCCAGTCCAGACTGTTCCAGACTCGGGCTCGTGCAGTTAGCTGCCTGTCCTCAGCGGTCAGTCCACCATCGCTGACAACACTTCTGCCCTGCTGACTTCCGGCTTGAGCATTGTGCATGAAGCCCACCACATCATCTAAACCCCAGCACAGGGCATCTGCCAGCAGAACCAAAGACTCATCAAAGTACTCGGCCACCAAGACCAAATCAAAGACAGAGTCCAGCCAGGCCAGACTCCACTGGATGAAGGATGAAGACCCCAAATCTAAAGCAGCTGGGCTGGACAGCTGGCTGTGACCATCAACAGCAGTGGGAGCAGGATGGAAGAGAGTATTGGGATCCAGGGTGTGGGCTCGAGGGCCAGCGCCAGAAGGCAGGACATGCAGCTCCAGGGGGTTGGGGTCTTTGGGAAGATGAGGATATCCTCTCTTGGTCCTCATCTCTGGGGGGAAGGGGAGGCCAAAATCAAACCATAGTAAGTTGCGTGCATAGTGGTCCCCACGGGCCCCAGGCCGGTAGAAGGCTCGAGGATTAGCTAGGAAGGCAGCCAAGGAAGGCGCCTTGCGGAAGGCCGATGAGGTGGATTTATAGTAGGAGAAGGCAGAGCGGGCCAGAGCTGCTGGATCTCGGACAATGGAAAAGAAGAAGCTGTCAGAAGGCATGACTTGAAGTACCTGGAGAGAAGAGAAAACAGACATAGGGGGAAAGAACTGGGCAAGGAAGAAACTAAGTGCAAGCACAATGTCCACAGATACCCCAGCTTCCTCCTGACAGCTCTGCGAGGAACCCTCAGCTTTCTTAACTAGCTGACAGATCTTGGGAAGGTTATTAATGTCTCTGAGACTCAGTTTACTCATCTACAAAATGGGGATACTTGTGCCTTCCTTCCCAGCTGACTGTGGAGGTTACATGGGATAAAGGACATGAAGGAACTTGGAATGTGGAAAGCTCCTGAAGAATATTTATTTCCTTTGGCCTTCTGTCCGCCTTGGTCAGTAAAACCTTTAAGAATCACAATTTGTGTTCACTTCTCCAACAAAAAACTATTAAGTGCTTACCCTGGGACTCTTGGTCATAGCTCTAAGAAAGGAACTGGCTTCAGGCCTTCTCAGTGGAGGTGGAGTCACTTGTCACAAAGAGAGAAAAGAGGGGCAACCATAATGCTGTCTTAGGTATAGCTGTCTGGTGGGCGGACAAGTCCAGGATGGCCAAAGAACAGGGCACTTCTGGAGCTCCCAGGCATCTTGGAGGGGAAAAGACACTTCTGGACTGGACACTGGGGAGCCATGGTCACCTGGCAGAGAGCTGCCCTAAGACCTGGGACATTTGACCCCACTTCTCAGCCAGAAAGAAGGTGGGTATTGGGCTGAGCTAGGCAGATGCACATCAGAAACCAGCTTCGGGGCTCCCTGAAGTGTCTCTGCCTCTGAATGTGATTCTGTCAGTGAACCTGACTCCCTGACATGATGTTCTTAAATCTGCTCTGCTAATATGAGCATGCCTACAGGGCAGAGCCTGGGAAATGTGTATCTCTGTGAAAGAAGAGGAGAACAGCGCAGAGAATAGCCTGTGGCATCAGGTGGGCCTGGAATAAAATCCCAATTCAGCCATTTACCAGTTAAGTAACTTTGGGCAGCTTACTGAATTTCTTAGAGCCTTCATTCCTCCATATATAAATCTGGGTTAACATTTAACTTGAAGAATGTGGAAGTACGTAGAACATGATAGGTATTAACTGGTGGTGACAATGAAGGTCATCATTCTAACCTCTGGAGAAACCTGCCTCAAAGATCATTGTCATTGCCTAACCCCCAGCAGTGGGCCTTTGCTGCCCATTAGATCACACTCATGCTCCTCAGCTGCTTTCTCCAGATCCAGCTTCAACAGGAGTATGTCTGCAGCCCCCACTTAAAGTTCTACCACCTACACACGCACACCCGTTACACACACATCCACACCACATATTAGCTGATATTTTGCTCCAAGAATGCCTAGTGTTCTCCTTACTGAAAAATCATGTCCACCCTTTCCTTTAAAACCTACTTCTCTGGAGAGCCCCACCTCTTTTCTATGAATATACTATTCTCCCCACAGTTTCAAATACAAACACACACATGCACACATGCCACAGAAAGCACTTTGACTTTTGAGCAGATGGGCCTAGGTTCAAATCTGTTTAACAGAGACCAGTCACTTGGCCTCAGAGTCTTGATCTCCTCTTCTGTATAATGGAGGCATTTATAATGCCTTCTTGGCAAGGTGGTGATAAGATTAATACCCAGAACTCAGGAAGTATTCAATAAAAGTTAGCCTCTTCCCTGTGCGTTTTCGTTTGCACATTGACTTTCTTTCTCCAAGAGCTCTCAGGTTGCTGTGTGTTCAGAAGAGCATGATGAGTCCGTGTACCCATCTTCCCCTTTAGAACTGAGGCTCCAAGGGTGTCAGGGATGGGTGATGACTTGGCATATATCTGACCCTCCAAATCTGGCAGACATGGTGAGGGGAGTGGAGGAAGACAGGTCAGAAGGCAGTGGCTAAGCAGAGATCCTGGTAGTGTCAATGGAAGGGGCCAAGAAGGGCAAGGGGCACTTGGAGGGAGAGTTTGGGGGTGGGATTCAGAGTTGGCAGGGTGCTGACACCAGCTGGGTAAGTTAGTGAAGGAGGAGACTGGAAAATGCACCAGATAGGAGGGGTCAGGACTTCAGCTCTCAGAAACTACTGGAGAAGGGATAGCAGAGAAAAGAACAGGAATTTTCACCTTTGTGGCCCCCATACCCAACATTTGGGTGAGGTGACGCCTGGGGAGCCCCCCATGCCAGGGGCCTCCTCTACTGATAGATGGTCTTGGCCACAGGTCTGATCCCTTCTCTCTCCAGTCCCACCCACTCCCTCTATACCACTCACCTCTTTCAGGTTGAACCTCATGTGATGACAGAGGATATGGAAGGGGGGCTGGGTGCTTCCACCCTGAGGGTGGTAGCCTTTGACCAGAGAGGCCTGGAAAAGCCTTGGGTAGCCAAACTGGTAGCGGGCAGGGAGGGCGAAGCGCAACCCATGTCGGTCCCCATAGCGATGAAGCAGGCTCAGCACTGAGCTGCTCCCGGATTTATGCGTCTTCAGAAACACCAGTCGCTGCCGAGGAGGACAGGATGAAACAGCTGGTCCTGGGGATGGGGCCCAGGCCTGTCGAAGCTGCAGCCCAGGTAGCCTGGGGAGAGATGGGAGGGAATGTGTTCTGTCCCTCACCAACAGGCAGATGGGCATCTTGTGGAGCAAAGACAGAGGGTATGGAGCCTCCTCCAAGTTCCCAGGAGTCACGGGTAGGATTGGGAGGAGCATGTGGGGGGGCATCTATCGGGTATCAGGACAAGACGAAACTCACCTCCTCTGGAAGGGGCCCCCCCAGAACTGGAGGGCAAATCCGATGGTCATGAAGACTCCCAAAGCCACCCCCAGGCTCCGAGGCCCCCAGAGGCGCATGGTCCTGGTAGGAGACAGAGGGCCCATGTGGCACAGGGAAGGGTGACAGGGCAAGGGTCAGGCACAGAGGCAGAGACAGCTCGAGGCAGCCGTGCAGCCTCAGAAGGCACAGGTTCGAGATCGGGGGTCATTCCCCAGGCCTGTTTGCGGCCCTGGTTGAGTCTGCCCCCTGAGTTAGCAGATTTTTGCCTCTGTCAGCGTCTAGAAGGGAAATGAGGGGAAGGAGGGGAGTCTAAGGAAAGGGTAGAGCCTTCTCTCTTGCTGAGACTAATTCACAGAGGGGGTTGGTGATGAGGTGCTCTGTATACCCAGACCTAAATGGCCCCACAACTACTCCTCTGCTGTCAGCCTCCAGCTCCCCCAACCCCTACCTACAGTTTCTCCCTGAGCCTCAAGGATTTGAAAGGCAAGGGGAAAAAAGAGACCCTGCCGGAATGATCAGGCCAATCTGCTCAGTGGACAGTGAGGTGGGCATTGCCAGGCTCCTGGCTCCCTCCTGAGCTTCTGTCTGTGATAGATTGGGAAGAAGAGCCCCATTTGGAAGCTGAGAGGAAAAGCCATAAGGAGGGAATATGGGTCAGATGAACCCAGAGAGGTGAAACCACAGGAGTGGCTTTGTAAGGAGTAAAAGTCAATCATCTGGTCTAAACTCAGGCATCTCTTTTTCCCTCTCAGCTCAGGGCTGACACCACTGTGGGGTTACTGACAGAACCCAGATTCCTGGGCACACCTCCACACACTCCCGTTCCCACTTTCCAACCTCATCAGTGCACCAGAGGAGACTGGGAGGGTGGGGCTGGAGAGCGAGTGTGAAAGTCTGCAAGACAAAGATACTGACAGACAAAAACACTGAGTCTGGAATTCCTTCCCAGGCCCCAGTTTCCTAATCAACTGGGAGTTGGACCCACCCCTTAAAATTACAATCCACAACTACCGGAGAGAGCCCTTCCAACAAGCCTAGACAGCCCCCTCCTAGGACAAGCCAGGAGTAACCCGACAGAGAGAACCAATATTGGCTACCTATAGACCTGCCCGCTCTGGCATCCCTCCCCCAACACAGTCCCCAGAATCCAGCCCTGCACAACTCATGTCCAGATTTCTTCTATTCCTTCCACCCTTCTCTGTCTCCTCCCATTACTCTCGATTCCAGCCTTCTGTCTCCTTCAGCTTTGGTGACACCTACCCCCCCCCACCCCCAAAGACTCCTCCCATAAATTCTCGAGTCCCTCCACTGGCAGCAGCCTTAATGTCACTTGCCCACTCACCAAGCCACCTGAGGAGCAGCAGTGAAGTCAGGGTTTGGCCCTTCCCAGCCACCGCCCCGCTCCTCACTCTGCTAAACTTTCCCCATAAACTTTCTCAGTGCCCAGGCTCCTCCCCTCTCCCTCCCTTTGTCTGGCCAGTCCCTGCTGCCGCTTCAGCTTTGATCGAGTCCGGGCCTCTCCCTCCCTGCATCTTTCCCTTGTTAGGGCACCCAGCTCACCCTTAGAATACGCAATTTCTACCCTCCTTTCACACTTAGGAATCATTTATACCTTTTCTTTTTCTGCTGTCTGCAGAACAAAAGACTCATTCAGGAGACAGAAAGAAAGGAGAAAGTAACAGACAAGAGTTGAAAGCAGACATTGTCAAGAACTTGCGACAAGGTAGCCAGAGGCTGGCCTGCAGAGAACAGGACCTGCCCTGAAGGCAGGGGCAGTAGTGTGGTGGTATTCATGATGCCCCCTGTTCAAAACGAATTTTGGCACTGACAAGGTGCTTCCTCACACACATTTCTCCCCATTTTACAGATGAGGATTCTCACATCCAGAAGGTGAACAACTTGCCCAAACTCAGGATCAGGGGACAGGATCCAAGGGAGGTGAGAAGCCATTACAAATGAGCCATTGCAGAGGCTCTGGGGCCTCTGCAAGGAGCCAGGGCTCAGAGAGAGCTGCTGAAATCACAGAAAGTCACACTCAGGGTCCAATAAATTCATTGTTTATTTGTGAGATGCAAAGCTTGTGAAGGATGTAGATGGCAGAGATCATGAGTTGCATCCTTTTTGTGTGTGTTTTAGGTGAAATTGATACTGGAAAAACTCATAGAACCAAGGCCCATAGATCCTGACATCCTATTCACATACCCAACCAAGTTCCCTGCACTGCACTTTGTCAGCACCCAGCTTTGTTAATTTCTGAGACGAGGTGTCCCCACTACTCCCCACTTCCAACTTTCTTCAAGCCTTACCATCCGACAACCCCACCCCTGCCAAATGTCAGTCTAAAAATCTTCCCTTTCTCCTCCTTGGGGCTGACCACCAGAGCCCAACCTTAAAGGTGTGGCCGGAGAGACTACAAGTCCTTCCTAAATAAATACCCCCAGCTTCCCCACCCCGACACCAAATGAAAAAATACTGTTAACACCTATCCACCCAACTCCAATGGGAATCTCCTGGATTTGGGGCCCTAGCCATTCACCCAAAAAGTACCTTCTCTACCCCGCCGCAGCCCCTTTCAATTCCTCCTCAGACCCAGCTGAGGGGGGAGGAGGGGAAGGGCCATGAACCCTTCTGATGCCAGGGCACCTTCCCCTGTTATTGAGGTCCAAGCAGGGCCAGGGCTGAGAGGAACAGAGTGAGGATAGGCTGGGTGTGAAAACCAACAGATGTCCCCCCAGTCCTGCTCCTGCCCTGGTTTTGGCGGATGATGAAACCTCCTTTGCGGCCAGGAGGGCGAGGAGGCCGTGCTGGGGGACCCACAGCTGCTGCCCCGGCCATCCAGTCATCTGCATAGTGCTGTCCTTCTCCAGAGCCGCTGGCATCCTCATCTGCAGGGAGGGAGAGGCTCAGAGACAGACAGGGATGGGTAAAAGGGAAAGAGGCACAAGGAGAAAGAAAACTCAAAATAAAAAAAGAATTAGAAAGAGTGGCAGGAAAGACATAGGTAGATAGATGAGAAGAGGGAGAAAGACAGTGACGGGAAGGCAAGGGGAGAGAGAGGTCAGATAGACATGGGAATGAGGGAAGGCAACAGGAGACAGAAAAGAGAGACAGACAGGTGGAGAGTGTAGATAAACAGAAAAAGATAGAGAAAATAAGTACGCAGAAGCAGAGAGCATAAAGGAAAAGGGAGGGAGGGAGGACAAAGAGATATAGAGACAGACAGTGAGAGAGAGAAAGACAATTGATGTCCTTTCTTGCCTCTGGCAGACTCTACTTTGGGAAGCCAGGCCAATGGCGCCCCCACCGCACTCCCCCACCTCCCCTAGGCTGCCCCCCTCAATCTCCCACAGTCCTTTGCCCAATGCTCTGTAAGAATGTTCTGGAGTCTCCCTGCCTAGAACATGAACTCACGATTAGAGATCTTCTCTCATATTCTTCTTGTACCCCTAACTTTTGAGGTAAGAATTCAATACAAGATTATAAAATGAATGAGAGAATGAATGAAAACTGAGATAAGAAGGGAGGCACTCAGAAAGCAGAAGGCAGGACCAGGGTCCAATCCCAAGGAGCCAGAGGAGGGAGGCCCTCAGGGCACCCGGGGGGTCTCACCCCAGTCTTCCAGTTCCAGGTCACGTCCCAGGGCGGCTGCCCTCATCCGGATTGTGGCTGACCGGAGCTGCAGCCGCCGCATCCGAGTCTGAAGGTCGGGGTTTGAAGTTTCCACATGCAGCTCTGGATTGTTGAGCTGCTCTGTCGGGGAGGCTCCGACCACCGGCAACAAGTACCTGCAAGCAAAGCAGCCCTGAAGGCTCGTGGCCAGACCTGCCAATTGGCCCCATCCCCAGATTTGGGCCTCACCCGCCCACCAAGTTGCCCATCTACCCAGCTCTCACCGGCCCCGCCCGGTTCCGGTCCAGCAGGGAGCCGCCTCCTGTGCGATGTCCACGGCCATACGGGGGTCCCCACACACTGTCATGGGGAGCCCGGCCCAGAAGCCCCGGACCCGGCCCAGCCTCTCACGGAGCTCCCACACCTGGGCGTGCAGAGAGAGCAGGTGGAGCTGCAGCGCGTGCCCACTCACCCGCCCAACACCCCCATGCGGCCTGTCCCCAACTCACCATCCGGGGCAACATGCCCGCTGCTGTTGTGGGCCGCTCCTCCTCTGCCCCTGCTGTCCAGAATCGGCCCGCCTCTTCTACTGGTGCTGGGGCTCGGCGGGCACGGGTCATTGCCTTTGGGGGGACCCCGCATTCCTGAAACACCTGTGGCACAGAGATACCCCCCATATAGTAAAACTCACACTGTATCCCCATTCCAACACCTAAATCTCCCCTGACATTCCCAGGAGGCACATACTTTACAATGCCTCCCGGATACCCCACATTGTCTCCCAACCCCAGGCCCTTGCCTCCACCCTTCTCTCTCCTGTGCTAGTGCAGACACCCCCAGACTGTCTCCCCCGACCCCCAGGCTGACACTCCCACACTCCTCAAAGCTCCTGTACCTGGGCAGACACCCCCACACTGTTTTCCTGCAGGTACATCAAACCTTCTGAGATCTTCACCCCAATGGCCTGGGCTGCCAGCTCAAAGGAAAAGGGACCCTGGATCTTCTCAGCCAGTAACAGGAGACCATCTTGAAAGAGGGGGAGAAAGACAAAGGGTGAAATGAGGGGATAGCCAGGGAGACACTCACTAAACTAGGAAGTTCCCACAAATCCTAACCTGGGCAGCAAGGTGTTAGATCGGGGAGACTCGAGTAAGAGCTCCCTTCCATGCTCCCCCTCCCAGTCCATCTGACTCATCTCTACAGAGAGTCTTTCCTGGCTTTCCTGAGTCCTCACCCAGATAGGCCCCCCAGTCAGGGTCCAGTCCTTGGCTGCTGAGACAGCCATGGGCCACGTTGAGGCAGAAACCTCGGCAAGGAGGCAGCAGGGGAACCCCCCGACAAAAGGGGCAGCCAGTCAGACGCATCACAGCCTTCCTGCAGCCTTCGGACATGGGCACCTGGGGGCAGAGAGCTGGGCTGTGTCTTCCACAAACACTGAGCTGAGGCTGCCCTCAGCCAAGCTTGGTGTCAGGCACACAGAGAAATCAAATACCCC